TTTATGGTAGTAGCAAAGGGTTCTAAAGTGTATCTCCTGAGGCAAAATTCCCAGAAGAGCCGGCATATTTTTGAAGGAAACACATTACCCACCTTTAAGACTTGTTGTAAGGCCACAGTAATCAAGATGTGTGGCACTGGCAAGAGAACAAACAGACCAATGGAAGAGAATGAAAAGCCCAAAAACAGACCCACACAAACTCGGCCCACTGATCTTTGACGGTGGGGCAAAGGCAGTATAACAGAGCGAAGACAGTCTTCTCAACAAAGTGCTCAACAACTGGACAGCCACATGGGAAAAAAAATAATCTAAATAAAAACCTTTTAAAATGAACCACAGATCTAAATATAAAACAAAAACTATGGAATTTGCAGAAGATTACCCAGGAGAGAATTCTACATGACCTTGGGTTTGGTGAAGATCTTTTACAATACTTCAAGCACAACACATGAAAGAAACTGTTGGTCAGCGGGGCTTCATTAAAATGAAGAACTTTTGCTCTGTGAAGACGACGTCAAAAAAGTGAGGAGACAAGCCACAGACTGGGGGAAATAACAGCAAAAGAGGGCTCTGCTAAAGAACTGTTAACCAAACCACAAAGAGCTCTTACAACAGAAAACAGCTGGGGCTGGTGGCTCACGCCTGTAATCCCAGTTACTCAGAAGGCAAAGATCAGGAGGCTTGTGGTTCAAAGCCAGCCCAAGCAAATACTTCCCAAGACCCTATCTCCAAAAAAACCCATCACAAAAAAGGGCTGGTGGAGGTAGGCCCTGAGTTCAACCCCAATAATGCCAAAAAAAAAAAAAAAAAAAAAAAACCCCAAAAAATCAGAAAATGAACAACCAACTAAAATGGTCAAAACCCCTCAACAAACACCTGCCAAAGAAGATATACAGAGGCAAATACCACATTGCATTCCTTGTATTGACCCAAAGAAGTTGGAAACCCATGTCCACTCAAAACCCCACACACGGATGCTTATAGCAACTTTATCCTTCAGTAGATGAGTGCATGGACAGTGGTATATCCAGACAATGGAATAGTATTCAGCACTGAGAATGAGCTAACAAGCTAAGAATATACACGGAAGAACCTTAAATTCATATTAGTAAGTGAAAGAAGCCAATCTAAAAAGACTGCAAACTGTAGGATTTCACATATGCAACATTCTGGAAAATGCAAAACTGCAGAGACACAAAACAGCTGGTGGTTGTTAGGGGCTGGGGGAGAGTGAGGGATGAGGAGGTGGTACAGAGAGGACTTTTAGGGCAGCAAAACTATTCTGTAAGACACTGCAGTGGTGGCTATGTCCTTGAACATTTGTCCAACTCATAGAACGTCTAACACGAGTGAATCCTGACGCAAACCATGGCCTATGGGTGACAATGGTGTGCCAATGTGGGTTCAATTGTAACAAACATACTCCCTGGGGGGACTAATAATGACGGAGACTGAGGGGAAGCAGGGAAATCTCTGCACCTTCCACAAGTTTTGCTATGAATCCAAAACTGCTCTAAAAAAGCCTATTTTTGAAAAATGCAAACAGCTTGGTATGATGGGAAGTCATACAGGATGAGGAAGGCATGGAGGTGGGGGGTGTCTTGGAGACAGCTCGAGGGCAGGCACGTCTGGTCATGGGCCTTAGGCCTCCAGTTACACAGCATGATTCATGTCAGGAGTCCACCACCTTTAGGGCTGGGGGTGGACCTGTGCCTGGGAGACCACAATGTGTGAACCAACTTGGTGACTACCCTCAGCTCTCTGTGCATTGGGAAGACAGATGACAAGCCAGTGACAGCTATCCAAGAGAGAGCAGCAGGAGAGGGGCACCTGCTTGGCCAGGGAGTAGAGACATCCTCTCAGCACAGTGACACAGTGCTAGGGGCTGGAGGGTGAAGGCGGTGTGGAAGGAGAGGCCACAGGGAGCTGCAGGGGTCCAGGTGTGGCCTGGTGACTAAAGTGGGCACAGGGGTGGAGCACCTGGAACCAGTTTATGGCAGAGAGCCAGTCTACCATGGTCCCAAGATGGAGGCAGGAAGGAGCATGTGTGGAGCTCTGCTCCACACTTGGCATCCAGTGGATGGAGAGTCCACAGTCAAGAAGGGTTGGAGGTGGAGGCCTCACTGGACAGGGGTCTGGAGATAGGGAGGAGGGAAAGAGGAAGGAGAGGGGCCCAAGATGGCCTGGAGGTTAGGAGACCTCCTCAGGGAATAAGGGCTGAGAGGGACACCTGGATCAGGTGCAGGGAGTCGAGCGGTGGGAAGGAGGAGCAAGTGGGAAGGGTGGAAAGCAGAAATGGAAGGAAGGCAGTTGTGAAACAGCTGGGAATGGTGGAGCAGGTAGGGAGCAGCTGAGAACTTGGCACATCCTCAGCCTAGAGCCCAGTGACCTGGGTGGAGGTGCCTGGAAAAAGACCAGAGAGACAGGGCACAGGTGTAGGACATGTGGGGTCCCAGGAAGGCTTCTGAAAACGACAAGCACTAGTCCTGATGGTGCTGCCAGAGGTGGCTCAGGAGCCTGGGGTGTGACCCCCAGACAGGTCTGCTGCGCCCCCTGGTGGTCGTGCCCAAAACCACCAAATCTGCAGCCTCTCTGGGGCTGAGTGATCTCTAGGATCTAGTAACCTCTAGGTCTTGCACCAGTCACTAGTACCTCCTCTCACCCACTTAGGGCTATCCATCAACTCTCTGGCTGGCTTCTCTCCCCACTGGGCCTCTGTCCCCTCCCCTAACCATCTTGCCCATTCCTGGAAGTGCCCACTCCTTCCTAGCTTGTCCTTACATCCTGTTCTAACAGTCCCTGGTACTAAGCAGACTGTGTGCTGGCATGCCTGTCCCAGCTCCATAAGGACTGGGGGCATGTTCGCTAGTCTCCCCATCACCTGAATGGCTCCTGGCATGCACTACTCCCCGCCACACAAGTCATGGCTGGCACTGCTGGCTCAGACCCCTCATTGGGCTTTCCAATGACCCAGAACTACCTAAACTAACAAAGCACAGGTTCCAGCATGTTCCTGCACCCTGACTCAGCCTCACCTGCAGACCCTAGGCAGGCAGAGTCTGTCTGCACAGGAGGGATGTTGCAGGAAGCCTCCCAGGGGCTAGGGCTACCTCAACAGGTGCAGAGACCATGGTGCAGCCTCTCAGAAGCACTGAGCATCGGTGGTCATGACCATGGGAAGCAGGGAGGAGAAAAGATGCTTGGTACTGCATCTTTGAATCAGATATTTTCACATCAGAGTAAAGGCAGCCTAAGGGTGCGTCCATAGGACCGTGCAAGTGCTAGCTAACAGGTCAGTTCCCTAGCACTTCTTCAAGTCCTCATCTCCCTCTGGTTCCCTGCCCTGTGGTGGCACACCTAAGGTGAAGGAGGGAGAGAAATCAGGCGCCCAGTCACCTCCTGAGTCTGAGTTCCATTTTGGGTACTTTACGATCCCATAGTGGCTAAGAATGCCCCAGCCAAGTGAGAGGCCTTATGTGGGTGTGGCTGTGGGGTCCACATGGCACCTGTCTCTGCCCTGTAGTGAGTTTCTTGGCCACTGTAGCTCTGTGTTCAGCTGGTACCTCTGTGGCATTTCCAGGAAAGGCAAGTCCAGTGGTGGGCTCACAACTGACTGCTGGTCTGACATGAAGGGGATGTGACACAGCTTCCAGGGACAGCGAGGACAGAGGATTTGTGATGGGGGAGAAGTTTCCTCAGCAGAAGCAAACCGGGGTGTGCTTGCTTACCAGAATCCACAAAGGAGAGCCACAAATCCTCTCACCCAACAGAGGAGTTGCACCTGGACTGCATAAGGAACTCCAGCCAGCAAACAGAAAGACAAGGGGGCCAAGCAGGCATTTTACCAAAGGGACACCCAGAGGCCACCAGCACAGGAGATGCCAACAAAAACCTCAGGGATGCCATCACCACCCTTATGGCCAAAGATCCTGAGGGACTCAGGTGCCAATGAGATGGCGAGGAAGCAGAGCACCCAAGCATTGCCAGAGGGAACGTCGAGGAGCACAGACCCTTAGGAAAATGGCTTGACATCAGGTACCGAAGTGAAACACACACAGTCCACTGCACATGGCTCCCACGAGGTGTGAAGCATGGGGAAACAGGAGACCTATGGGAACACCCACCGGAACAGGCCAGGTAGACAACCCTGGGGAGCACTTACCCAAGGGAGGACGCACAGGAGAGAAGCCATGAGGGGAAAGGCTTCCTGCCATCAGAGCACAGGTGTGGTGATGCACTGTGGCAGGCAGGAGTCCCTCCATGTGAACTGTCATGTGGCCTGGGGTTGGCACTGTCACGCCAAGTGTGAACAGTGGCTCTGCGACGAGTTCACTGTGGAGATTCAGTGTCTAGTTCCCATAAACGTGCTTACAAAGACAGGGAAGCCAAAGCCTAAGCAAGCTCTGCAGCCACCTCAGACAAGGGCTCTCCTAGCCAGCATGGTAGGTGCCGTGGGCTCTGGTCCTGTGAGGCCTTCCGAGACCCAGCTGCAGTGCAACAGACAGGCTGCCAAGAACTGGGGCTGTGAAGGTTCCAGAAACTCCTCCAGTGTGGGGAACAGTAGGGGCCAACCTCCCCTACAGAGGCACTGTAGGTCAGTTTCCCTCCTGCAATAGGGGAGATTCCAAGTAAACAAGGCTCTACGTTGCCCTCCCTGCAGGCCTAAAGCTAGCTCTGGCCAGCACCTGAAAACTAGACCACAGGGGATAACTTTCTAGCAATCCACCTGCCCAGGGCTGCCTACCCCCACCTATGCTGGATCAGAAGGGAAAGAATGCTCTGGAATGGGTGAAGTATGCAGCCAGCCAGTCTTCCAGCTGAGACATGTTCCCCCCATCACACACCAGCCTCCTGCATTTTTCCTTTTTAACACAAGCTTTGCCACACAAAGATCCCATGGCTACGTGTCAACTTCACAGTCACATCCAGAGGCCGAGCATTAGTGATTTCCTCTGCATTAGTGAAGGCTCCTTTTCAGAGAGCCTGGGTTAGTTTAAGGAGCTTTATTTGTACCTCCCATCGCCAGTTTCAGCAGGCCTGAAACACAGCTGTCTGAAGTTCCCACAGTGGAAAGGAGTTAAATCTCCATGGCTAAAGGGACTGCCTGCTGCAGAAATTCCCTTGTTTTAATTAGCACATATTTACTTCAGAGAACATTTTTTAAACCAGAAATGTGGTACTTCTGGTTTTCTGATTATCAGACTTGTAGCCTTGAAATTTTTTTTTCTTCCAAAACCTAAGTATCTTGAACCACCGAACCTAAGAGCATGGAACGGTATTTCTCTACCAGATTTACATCTCAGTTTTCAGGACACACGGTGAGGCAAGTCACCACTGCTCCTCAGGGTCAGTGGAGCCGGGGTGTGGACTCTTGTCCACGTGAAAGGAGTAAAGCTGAGCCACCTGCATACAGCAGGAAACACCTACAGCTCTAAACACAAAAGCAAGTCCTGCCAGAGGCCCGGCTTGGAGACGGTCCATCAGCAGCATGTCACTTTCCCGTGAGTTCCAGCACCTTCTTCACCATGGCTCCGATCCCGTCGTGGATGTGGTGGAGTGAGGTCTCACACATGAAGGCCGGGGTCGTGACCACCTTATTTTTTTGTCCACGTGAGCTTCGTGCACAGGAGTTAGGGAAAAACTATGACCCTCAAGGACCAGAGGGAGTTTTAGGCGAAAGCCTTGGCCTGCCCACTGCTTGCCAACCTCAGTGGCATGGCCACAGCATTCTCAAAGCGGTTCTCTTAGGTCAACCTCTGCCGACCACCCCGGTCACTGTGCTACCTGTGCCATGCAACTAAACACAAGGGAAGGGCTGGGGCGTGGTTTGATGATGCTTGCCTAGCATGCACAGGCCAGGCCCTGGGTTTCATCCTCAGCTATAACAGGTTCCTGTGGCTCCACAAGGAAGCCAACAGCCCTCGGAACCCAGGCTCCCCCACCAGAGCAGGCCAGGACCCTGCTGGACACTTCTCCCACACTGTTCTCACACTGCAGTCACCAGCAAGCAGCTCCCAGCCCTCTCGGTCTTGGGGTCCTCCCTGGATGCTCCCTACAGGCTGCCTGTGCCCTTGGCGTGCAAACCTGCTGTACTCCAGGCCTGGGGCGTGCTGCACGTCATGGACACTTGATATGCAGCCTCAACAGACAGGTGCAGAAACATAACCATGGACTCCTTGCTCACCAGCCACCCCCAAGGCACTTACCCTGCCCACCTGCCCAGGAGACATCCCACAGTGAGACCAGCAAGTACAGTTCCTGGGGAGAGGCCATCACCAAGCGTGTTCCAAAAGGCCAAAGGAGGGGAGTTCAATGTGCCACCCTCCCCTGCAGAGACTGGCTACCAGAAAGGATATGGTTACACCCTGCACACAATGCTTTGCACCCAGGGCCTTGATGGCCTCTGTAGTCCCAGCGTAAGGCCACCTGCCGCCCTCCTCCTGTTCATGACCCACAGTGACCTCGATGTCTCGGAGCACTCTGGCTGCGAGGACAGGCGCGATGCAGCACAAGCTGAAAAAAGAGGGTTTGTCAGCACAGGCCTGATGAACGGAAGCTGGACCCACTGAGTCAGCGGGCACTGTGCAGTCTTCCCTGCCCCAGGCTGTGACCCCAGCTCTCCATGTCTTGAACATTCCCTCAGGGCACCCAGGCCCCAGGACTTGGGTGGTCCTAGGGAGAGGTGGCCACAAGGGGAGCTGAGGGGCCCTGCTAAGGTTGAGCTCCCCCACAGCCCTCTGGCCCTATGGGATGCCCAGTCCCACCACTGTCGTGAGTACAGGAGTCATCTCAGAGCAGGTAACAGAAGGGGGCAAGGCCCAGCCTGCTCTGGGGTGGTCTGTCACATACAGTAGATATCATTCAAACCAGATCCCATCTCTACAGGGAAGCACAACAGGGTCACAGTTTGCATCAGCAGCCTTGACCTCTAACCTGTGCTGTGATCCTCAAGTGTGCAGAGCCAAGTGCTATGCCCAGGTCCACTTCTGCCCCACTGCACCCACCATGTCTGCTCCCCCTGGCCCCACTCTTGCCAGATCCTCCCAGGCTCCTTCAGCAGACATCATGGAAGCAGCCTCACTGAGCCTAATAGCACCACTAGAAATGATCACATATACTTATTAAAACATCACAACAGGCCAGGTGTGGTGTCTCAAGCCTATATCCCAGCCACCAAAGAGGCAGAGATCGAGAGGACTGCAATTCAATGCCAACCCAGGCAAAAAGTTCTCAAGACCCCATCTCAATCAATGGCTGGTGCTGTGGCTATGCCTGTAACTCTAGCTACATGGAGTAACAGTAAGAGCACTGCAGTCCAAGCCAGCTCAGATATAAAGTGAGACCCTGTCTCAGGAATAAACAAAGCAAAAAGGACTGGCAGAGTGGCTCAAGTGGTACAGCATCTGCCTAGATATCAAGAGGCCCTGAAATCAATTCCCAGACCCACCAAAAAACCCACAAACCCTCCTTCCCCCAAAAGAACAGGTACAACTGACACTACCTCCCTCTAGTGACCTCTGAGCCACAAGACTGAGGGCCACGGCCCATGTCACTGGTAAGTTCAGGTGAGCCCACAAAAGGACCCTGTATGGGCCCTAGCCTCAGGACCAGGCCTCACGTCACAGGCAGGGAAAGGCATGCATCCCTCAGTGACGAAGAGGGACCACTCTGACCGGCAGTAGGGGAAGGCTGGGGCCATGAGGGGTGGACTGGGAACATTCTGGAAGCCAGGAGAATTCTGAGTCTCCACAAGGGGGAGAGGAGGTCCTCCTTCCTGCACTGCTGCCAGAAGTTAATGTGACAGCGTAACCACAGAACTTCTGGAGCTGCGGAGGTAGCAAGAATCCAGAGAACTCCCTCCCTCACTCAAGAGGAAGCAGTTCAGCAGTTCAGCCCAGGACCGCAGCTCCCGCCCGAGAGCCAGAGGCCACCCTACCCCAGGGTCCTGCACCTACCCGATGGGCTTCCCAGCCCCGTGGAACTCCCTCAGGACTCTCTCCACATCCTTATTGACCTTGCAGTCTTTTCCGTCCACCGCAAACGTGCTCCTGCGACAAGGGGAGAGCCCTCCTCAGCAGCTTCTGCAGAGCCCACGTGCTGCAACGCTGAGCAACCGCCCACTAGCTCCGAAGTTACTACACCACTAACACGTGGGGATGCACCCACAAGGACACCCTCCCACCCAACTGCAGACCTGTGTGCCCAACTTCCTGTGTCTCAGATGGCAGCACAGAAGGTGAGAGGCAGGTGGCAGGGAGGACACCAGCCACTAGCAGGGCCAGGCTGTGACCACACTCCACCTCCAAGTCCAGGGCAGCAAGAAAGCCCTTGAAAGGAATTCAGAAAAAGAAAGGCAGCTGCCTAAAAGTAGTAAAAAGATGCACTCCGCTAAAAACAAGAGGAGACATTACCGAAGCCTCATCTTCCTGCCCTGGGGTAGAGACCAAGAGCCATGAGCCACAGGTGCTCTGCACTGTCCCAACTCTAAGTGGGTGCATCCTGCCAGGAACCAGCTTCCAGGGCCAGATCCTGTTGTGTGATGTCCCTTCCTCTAAGACTCTTACCCCAGGGTTGCTTGCACAGCGTGGAAACCTGGCAGTGAGGGACATCTACCCTCATGTGGTGACCGCGTGGGAGGGGCCATACTTGTGCTACACCTACCAAATCCCACCCTGAAACAACACACACCAACACCACCCTCACCATGTTATTAAAACAAACAGCAACGCTTGTTATCTGGGCAGATCTGTGCTGCTGTTGAGCAGATAGTGCCTGACCCAGGTCTAAACCAGACTGTTGAGTAGAACACAGCACAGAACAGGAACTAGGACACCACCAGCAGTATGGTGCATGCACGATGTACACATGGGCCATCAGCCATGCTGGCACACTTGGCCCCTAGCAAATCTCCAACTGGCTTTTCACTCCATCAGGCAAAGTGGTAATGGCCAGAGGAGTGGTGTGTAAACTTGGCTCATTCTTTCTGAAAAGAAAGGCTGACCCACTGAAGTGAAAGTCCACCCGACGCCCACATCCTGCCTTGTCCTCCTGAAGACGGTCATGGTAGGGAAATCACCAGGAAAGGCACATGCCTGCTGCCTGACACGGGCGCTAATCAGCTCACTGGTTTCAGGTCAGAGAGTGGATCTGAAGTGCAATGGAGTTCCATAGCGAGGTGGACCTGGGTGCTGCTAAAGGGGCTAAGAACTGGTCAGAATCTGCAGAAAGGCATACCCTGAATGTCAGGGAGCCTAAGGTTTCAGAAAAAGGAAAGGGATTTGCTACATATCAGGGAATGAAACCATGTGTCCCTCACTTTCAGGTCCAGGTTGCCCGGAGACATAAACTCCCTGAGAACTCTGCAGGGCAGGGCAGAGGCTCTCCCTGGGCGATCAGCAGTGAGCCCACCTCTCAGGCAGGGACATGCTGAGGCCAGTACCGGGAGGACATAGTAACACACAAGAAGAGAAAAAGAAGTAGGGATTGTAAAAAGGACCCCAACCCAAAGATGGCCCATGGTCATTGCCTACAGCAGACGCCCAGACAGCCCAGTAGGAAAAGCCCCCTCCTTCAGGCAGTCACACAGGATGCCTAGCCAGGAAACAGCCTTCCATGCTGCAAATTCTGCCAGGAACTGCTCTCAGATCTGTAAGCAGAAACTGATTTTGCCACATGCACACCCCTAGCATGGAGGTAAGTGAAGAGGGCCCCTAACCCACCCTGTCAGCTGTCAAGTGCCAAGAGTGCTCAGAGGAGAGAGCAGAGAAACATTCACACCTCACAGAGAAAGTACCACACAGGCCCCACTCCTCAGCAGCTCCCCATGTTAGAGACTGTGACACTCCAGACACCCACAGGTTTTTGGCAGCTCCAAAGCCTCCAGGGAAGATGGCGGCATCATGGTTGGTTGCACTGAGCTGGGCCAGATCAGTGATCTTGCCTCGAGCGATCCTTGCTGACTCTGCCAAAACATTCCTGGGAAAAAGCACACACCAACACAAGGATCAGTGTGCAAGCAGGGCCGGGAGACAGGTAGCACGGGGCACATGGCCTGCACACACCTCACAGCTGGAACGCAGCCTATGTGTAGAAACTTAGTGCTTCCCAGTCAGCATTTACCAGTGCCACCTGGAAAAGGCAAAAGGATACTAGTGGACCTAACCCTACCCTGATGTCCTTTAGGACCTCAGGACCTGTACCAAATTACCTGGAATCAGGGGCCACTAGGAAATGGAAACCCCTCCAAAATACCTAAAACAGACAGAATTCAGTGCATCCCATGGACAGTGGTACAGGGAACTAGGATGCTACTCCTCAGGATGCATAAAGCCACCCAAGGGTCAGCCACAGCAGGAAGCTACTCCCACCCGAGGCTTGTGGCATAGGGGCAGGCATCAGGGACCAGGGCCCCCAGGCAGAGAAACAGCAGGTGGGAAAACCTGGGATTCTTCTCCCCCAGGTCTCCCATCTCAACCCCCACCTCCTTGTCTGAACCCAGCTGGAAGGTACCTGGGACACACCCAGCAGGGTCTATTAGCCTGCATTTGGGGTAAGGGAAGAGGCCAGGGCACACGTGCCTCGGAACAGAAATGCAGATACAGCCAGGTGCCAGTGGCTCACACCCATAATCCTAGCTACTCAGGAGACAGAGATCAGGAGGACCGAGGTTCGAAGCCAGCCCCAAACAGTTCAGGAGACCCTATCTCAAAAATACCCAACATAAAACAGGGCTGGTGGAGTGGCTCAAGTGGTAGAGTGCCTGCCTAACCAAGTGTGAGGCCCACAATAAATAAGGAGGCCTCCAAAGTGAGCCGCACTGCTTTGCATTACAAAGAAGGGAAGGGGCGAGCATCCTTACTCAGCACAGGTGACTGGTAGGTTTTTCACTTGTGCTAAGTATGGGGAGATGAAATACTCTGAAGAAGGACAGTGAATTTCTACAACAGCACTTTGAGAGATATTCTTTTGAATGCAAATTCGGGCCACCAGCTGAAACTGAGCTAGCCAGAAAGGCTGTGCTGCAGGAGCTGTGGCCCATGACAGGGAATTCTTTCAAGGTTTCCCTGCCCCATACCTGCTCTCATTCTCAGAAGGCTGCCCCTTGGTGTGGTCAATCACATGCATCTGAGGGACATCAGGGGCAAAAATCTGAACCTCAGCACCTCCACGGCTCAGGTGTACCAGGATCCTGCATGAAAGGAAATCAAAGACAACACTTCAAAACATGACAGTCTAGAAACCCTGCGTTAATGTGTTTTCACACATGGGATTTTAGCTACACATGTCCTACTTGCTTTACAAATTCATGGCTGGCTGACAACCTGAATGCCTACTGCTTCTACTCATCTCCCCTTTGTGGACAAGACAGATTCACAGAAGCAGGCTGTGCACATTATCTGGTCCCAACAACCCCATTTACACACTGGAGTGCAGGTGGATCAGTGACTCCACAGGTGTCACATTCTGAATGTGTTCAGGGTCCCGGGCTGCTGCCAGGGGCTCTGCCTTCAACTAAGGGCCACTTGGGCCCCAAGAGGACACAGCAACAGTGTGTGCAACACACCCAGAGGGGCACAGTGTATCTGGTCACTACTTAGGAAGTCCAATTCCTATCTTCCCCCAACTTTGCCGCTATGTGTTGAGGGTGAGAGACATAGGGACAGAAAGGCAGTTCATTCCACCAGGGGCAACCCTGGACATTCATGAGGGCTTCCTCTGCACTAGCTACAATATGAAATGGCAAAACATGAGACACACTGCTCTTAGTACCTTTTATAGAGAAAGCCACTAAGTCATGCAGAGTAACCTACTCAAGGTCACAGCACCAGACAGTTAAGCTGTGGCCCTAGCCACCTGGGGGGCTGTTTTATTTCCTACCTCATAGGCTTTCTCCCTAAGACAAAACTGGGAAACACAATCTGACCCTTTGTGTCCACCAGCTCAGTCACTGGGAGGCTCACTGTCTCTGAGGCCACTTCCAGGAGCACACCGGCTATGCCCTAAGGATGAAGGTCCTGCAGAGCCTCCCCCACCTCCATTTACCCTGAACCACGTGGAACAAGCTGATCTGTGGGTAGGTAGAATACCCTGCTGGTCCTGCTCACGTAACTTCAGCAAAACAGAAAACTAGAACAAACTATCTGGCACATACAGATGACACAGCTACACCCCAGAACACGGTGCAACCATTAAAATCACGTTCCTGAGGACCGAATGGATAGAAATTAGCTCCCCACGTGGAAGAAACATTTGCTAAACACGGCTAAGAATGATCCCGATCTGTGATAAATGTATTTACTGAAAAAAACAAAAACCACAGAATGTCCACTGATTATCTAACGAAAATAACTTTTGCCCAAGCCCAAGGGCAGGATTTAAAACGCACGCTCTTCCTAAACGATTAGAGGGTTCCTCTGAGGACTTACGCAGAGGCCTCGTGGATCTCCGTCCCGTCGTAGACTCCGCAGCCGGACAGCACCTGCGGGAGGAGGGGCTCTTACCCCGGGCAGAGGGCCAGCCAAGCCGGGGCGGCGGGGGCCCAGCCTGAGAAGGGATGGACCCGGGCAGCAGCCGTCGTATACTCACCAGCGCGACCCTGGCCCCCGGGCGCGGCGCGGAGCCGTGAAGGGCCGCGCGTGGGGAGGGCGCACGCCCGTCGGAAGGGATCAGCCGCAGGCGTCCGGGGAGGGACGCGAGCGCGGAGGCTGCCGCTAGCTTCGGCGCCACCAGAGTCCTCAAGGCCGCCATGGCGGAGCGGGGTCAGCGGGGTGGACGGGTCACGCGCAGCAGAGCACCGTGCAAAACAAGCTAGACAGCGCACTAGCGGCCTCCGGCGCGCCGGCGGGCGGAGCCGCGCGTGCTCAGTGACAGAAGCGCGAGACTACGCCCCGCCCCGTTTTCTGCAGCGCGCGCCGGTGGGCGGGGCGCGCATGCGTAGATGTGGGCGCTCAAGACCACGCCCCATTCCGTTCCCCCGGAGCGCGCCGGGAGGCGGGGCCGCGCCTGCGCATTCTCCGGAGGGCGCCTTCTGCCCGTCGTCCGTGCCCTTCTGGTCGCACACCCCTGTGACAGCCCTCAGCGCCTCCTGTTCATGTCCCTAGGATGCGAAACCACTGCCCCAAGATTCCTGAAAGCGGATTTTAACCTTTATCAGCGTCGTAACCCAATAGCCGCCCCACACTGAACGCAGCGTCATCAAGCTGTGTCCATGCTTTGCGGGCCCCTCCGCCCGCACCCTACGCGCGGCTGCCGCTGTCCACAGACGGAGGACTGAGGACTGCTTTCCTCTTCCCTCTGATTTACCAGTGCTCAAGTTTTCACCTAACTCCGATGGTCTCTGTTGGATGACTGCAGACACGGAAAGCCGGTACTTTCTCCACCGTTACAACTTCACTGTGCGTCCTGCAAGACGTGGGGGTGGGGGTGAAACTAGAGTAGCAAATAGACATTACGTAAGATACGAGCCTCCCATTTCTAGGGACAGACCCAGGACGCCGTTCTGAACCTGCCCGTTGCTGGGAAAGCTTCCATGGGTGTCCTAGCTTCTCCCTCTCCCCTGCGCACATCCAGGAAAGCAGATGCCTGGAGTTGTTTCCACCTAGGGACAGCACCCCTTTAATGTTTAGAAGACACAAAGTGTAAATAGACAGGTCCGGGAGTACACAGCACATGTGTGCAGATCAGAAAAGGGGTTGGTGGACCATGGCCCAGCACCCTTACTGGGGTCCAGGGCACTGTCCAAACAATTCTGTGGAGTTCCAGTTCGTGGGTTTGAAGCAAGCAGGCATCAGGTCCAGGTGCCTGTTTAGGGGTCACTACAGCATATCTGCCCAACCCACACAGGGTGTGAGAATAGGGGGCCAGTCAGGCCACATCCAGCTGTCCAAAGGGAGGTGGTCACAGGGAGCAGAAGAAAGCAGATAATATGGATGGATTCCACTGAAGAGACCAAAGGATGACTGAGCCCTGCTTCTGGTGTGAGAAAATTACACTTAGGTTCAAAATGGATGAGGGGTGGGATGAATATGGTACAACACTTGCCTGGAATGTGCAAGGCCCTGAATTCAGTCCCCAGCACCACAAAAACAAACACAAAGGATGACAGGAGGACATAAAGTTGTACAGTTCACTACTACAGATAGACCCATGGGATGGCACTAAAACCAAGTTGGCTCCAGTCCAGGAAAGGAAATGCTACAAGGCAGACTGACTCAAGGGGTCTGTAAGGCCAGGATGCTGCTGCTGGCCTGGAACACAGCCAGGGCAGAGGCTCCTGGGTCCCACTGCAGCACGCACACAATACCCACCAAAAAGCCTGAAGTGAGGAGGAGGGATACTGGCCATTCTGCATGGGGCAGGTAACAGCTTGTGATTCTGTTGTCCAGTCTAAATTGCACACAGATACTGCGTAGGAGCAAACTCCCCAGTGATCCCAGGCCCAAGCGTGGGCCTCGTACCTCTGGTCTGCAGGCCTCTGAGTGCATTCCAGGTGACCAGAGCACTTACAGGACACCCTGGCAATCTTATGATGGTGTGACAGCAGTGGCTCCCAATACATGGGGTGTCACCCCTCCCCCCACCAGCTCATATGGCCTTGTCAGCTGGGGTGGTAGGCAGGCAGTTATCAGCTCCACTCCCCAGAACAAGATTCAGTCAGGAGCTATTCAGTGACCTGTGGGTCACACTGCTGGTAAACAACAAGCTGGGCTGAACACATATGCACATACACGTCCACACACATGCACACTCACACACATGCAGTATTGGTGAAGTGCCACACTGAGGTGGAGGAGCTGTCCCCTCCTGTGTGGTCAGTGCTGACCAGCACAGTAGGCCTGAACAAGCTTCCCTGGGAGAGCTGACTGGTGGTGGCCCCGGGGTCTTGTCACATACACCCTCCCCAGGTCGGAGTCCAACAGATGCTCCCTTCCCTGCCCACCAGCATGACACCTGGTTTCTCACACTCAGGGTATGTTATAAACATTTTTAATTCAGAGTTTAGACTCAGTTTTCATGTTTTAGAAAATCCCATGTTTTATCCCTAGGTACATCCTTAGAGCTTCATATTAAAAACATAAATAACTCTCACACAAAGTTCAAGGCCCACAAATGCGAGCCTGTTTCCCTCTTGGAAAAGCAATGTTTACAGGCATCCACACTGCCAGCATCCTGGGCCTGCTGCACACATGTACCCATGTGGCACTGACCAGTTGGCTCACTGCTGGGCTGCATGTGCAACTCACAGGAAAGGCGGGTCTCCAGTCCTCATGGTGGCACCTCAGAGCCCTCTGGACCCCTCACACTTCCTCGGTACAGGCAGTACAATGGCTCCACTGGTTCTCTTTGGCTGTCTTAACAGAACCCATTGGGCAGCTCTACACCAGCATCCCTCCTTCTTCATCGCCAGCTCCTCCAAGCAGGTGCAGACTGTCCTCATCAGAGGCTTCTGCCTCCTCCTCCTCCTCCTCCTCCTCCTCCGTTCCCAATGGCTCCAGGGTGCGTTTCATGCCTCGCTGCTTGGAAACTGCTAGAGCATACCGGATGTTGTAGCGGTTCCAGTCACAGCTGTTAGCACAGGGCACCAGGTCAGTGCAAGCACTCACCGTTTTCCATTCCATCCTCTTCGGTCACTCAGAGCGCAGAGAGGGATCCTCTCCATCAGTTATTTCCCCACACTCACAGCACAAAGACGCCACCCCATCACCACCCACAGCACCACTGGTAAGGTGCAGATGTGAGGTGAAAAGGTTAGAGGGAAAGCCACACCTTGCACTCGCAGTAAAGTGAGTCTATGCACATTACTCTTCCCCAAATCTATACAAAGCCAGCGCATGGGTGTGTTGGCACTGAGTCACCAGACAAGGAACGAGCCTAAAAGGCGATGGACCATCCTCTTCTACAGAGTGGTGGAGCAGGGGAAGGCTGGGCACTATACAGTCTCCCCGAGCAGACTGCAAACCAGCCCAGCCCCTCCAATCCCAGCTTTCCAGGGGCAGCCAGGACATAGAGGAAGAAAAGGTGGGAGGGGGAGGGGCTCGCTCTAGATTCGGATGAGAGGACCATGGGACCACAGGGCCTAGACGCAAGCCTCAGGCCAGGGACCATGGACAAATGAACAGAGGAAAGGCCTTGTAGAAGCCCACCCAGGACACCTGACAACTGCTCAGTGACAGACAAGTTTTGTCTTTACAGCCCAGGCTCTGCTTAAGGAAAGGGATCTGGGGACAAGAAGTGCACAGACCACCAAGAAACAACTTGAAGGAGGACCAGGAGTGGACTAGCACTGTTCCGAGCATGTTAGGATAGTTCGCTCACAAGCACCATCCCCATTCTCCTGCTGGGGAAACCCATGTATGCAGTCGTCACATCCGAGGAATCAAGGCTGTCTGGCCCCCAAGCCAGCTCCTACTGCCCATACAGGTGACTTATACACTCCAGGACTATGATGACACAGCCCTCCTGCGGTGGAAGGGCCCTGACCACACCTCCCACCTCGATCTCCTCCAGCTGTGGATAGTGCTCATAGTGGCTCTCCTATAGCAACAGCCACAACTAAAGATGGTCATCCCCAAGTCCTACCAAGGGGGGCCGATGGATTCAGTTCATCCCGGCAGGTGAGAGAATGCACACCTCTGATGCCAGAACCTCTGGCCCCTAATCAGATGATACAGGATGACAGTGTGCCCAGCCCTGTCCCCACCCACCCCCCACACGTACAGCTTAGCCACATCGTCCAGGTGTCGCTGCAGACTCTTCTGAAGAAACTGAACTGTAGGCAGCAGCTGCCCCGCCCTAGAAAGGAAGCATACTCAGTGTCAGTGTATGACAGTGACTGGGACAGTGTGGTCTCAGTGCGCACTGCATTTGCTGTGACGTCTCCCTGTCACCAGCACAACCAGTTGGGTGAGTAACACATGCCACAGGTGAACAGTCCTACCTAGCCTTCAGCCTCTGTCCGTGTGTCATAAGCAGCTTCTGTGTCCAGATGAGGTAGAATTCCAGGTGTCGGGAGGCTTCAAAGGAGGAAGCTAGAAACTCAAGTACTTTCTCTACATAAACCTCAGGAAGAGAAGTGCTGACAACTTCAACTGAAATGGAAAAATAGCCATGCTTATTCTGCAAAGAACTCAGATTAGGAGAACGATGGTGACACCTTGGCCCCTCTGTACCCCTGGCTCACTCTCGTCTGGCGGCACAGCCTCCAGGGCCTCCTGTGTCAGCTTCCTCTCGTTGAGCCGGAAGGCCATGAGGATGGCCCGGGTGAACTCTTGTTGTCGCAGAGCCTCACGAATACGTCCAGGAGTGACGCTAGTGTCCAGCTCAAATGGGTCGAAGAGCATCTGGGCATCCAGGGAGAAGATGAGGAGCCCCTCCGTGCTGGTGGCTGCCCAGCAGCGCCCTGGGGAGTGAGCAGTGACGGGCTTCCTCAAAATTTAAAACAGACCATTTCCCACCACTTTTTAGAAGATAAAAGGTCCTAAATATGTTGCCTTGAGCCAAACACTGGCACACAAAAGGGAACCAGATGCCCTCCTTCCTCCCCACCCACCCAATGGAAGGCACCGCTGGGTTCCCTCTGCTGATGTCCTCCCAGAGCTGCCCTGTGCTCCTGTGAGCCACGTGCACATGCCCATCTCCACTGCCTGTACCAGGAGCCAACCAACTTCTCAGGACAGATAGTTTCAGCTTTACAGGACACACCGTCCCTATTATGGCTGGTCAAGCCTGGTGGCAGCCATAAATACATGAATGAACAAATGTGGCTGTCTCAGAAAAACCTGAGTTACAAAATTAGATGGCTGACAGATATGGCCTGCTGGTTCATAGAACACACGAGGGCAACACATGTGAGCTATTCCACACTTGCAGTTCCCTCCATCTGTGCTGGAGAGCACTGGCTGACAGCCCCCTGCTCTGCTGTGAAGGGAAATGTGCACACAACAGGCCCTGTACTTGGTGATGGCAGAGCGCAACTCCCAGCATGGCCCTGGACCAGGTGAAGGGCACCTATTCTGTTATCCACAAGCAGGGCCAGCCTCCCAACACAGCTCATCATGTCTGGGGTTGGAACTTCACAGCTGTCTACCCTCAGGGAAAAGGGTGACCAGTGGCTAGCAGGTTCAGTGTCCCATCCTTACAGGAACAAAGCACTGTCCGCAGCCTGCCAGCAGCTCTGACTGATCTTGCCTCTAACAAAGGCCCCAATACCATCAGGGTCAACAACCATTACCCAGGACTCACCAGTGGGAGAGAAACGCAGTGAAGTCACCCTGATTTCAGGTTTAAAGTGGCGAGAACTCATATCACCTGGGATAAAAAAACAGACTTGTTACTGGGCAGCAAATCCCAGTTGCTCACCTGACAAATGGAGGCCACCCTTCAGGTCCACCGTGCTGACCAGGGGTTGACGTAGGAACCCACCAAGAAAGCAGCCTCTGACCCTGCCTACTGGGCCCTGTGCCAAGTTCAGGCAGGAAAGGCACTTCCAGCCTCTTTGCTGGCCCAAAAGACAACCTGTATGGCTTCTGAGGCTGTCCAAGTACTGCTGATCTCCATGGGACTGTGTACCAGTGGATAAGACCTGGGAACACAGGTTCCTGAGGACGTCCAGCCTGGTCAACACACAGTTCTTCTGGTCTAGCAGGCCCTCACCCAACCCAGGCTGAACCCACTGTGTTCAACACAGGTCCTAAGGCCTACATGGAAGCATCTGGCTTTTTGAACGGCGGATACTCATCATGACAGTCTACCTGGGACCCGGGTGGTCTGAGTCATAGAACACCTATGAGGCAAAGGCACTCTGGTCCTCTAATATACCCTGTGCCCCAAGTGGCCTCTCCTGCCTGAAGGGGCGGGCCACCCAGCACCTTATTGTTGGATCTTCTCCAGGTGCCCTAACTTTCAGCAAAACATCACTGACTCCATGAACTGCAGCCCAGCTGAGGAAACAGAAGAGAATACAGAGGGACCTCTGCTTACCTTTCTTGACGCCTGGCAATGGAATTGCAACACCGTTTTCTTCTCCAGCATCTTGGTCAATAAGTGCCAGGTTGCCAAATTCCGTCATCTTTCTTCGGTTCAGAAATTCCTAGAACAGCAGAAGCCCTGGATGCCTCACTCACATCTCCCTCTTGCCCACGTGTCACCAACAGTAAATGAGCCCCTGGCCACAGAACCTTCTTTCAAAGCCTGCTGCAAATGGGCAGGGATGAAGGCCACTGCAGTGGAGGCACAGGGCCCTGCTTGGACCCACGCCTGCACACTGGCATCTCAAGCATGGTTTCTCACCCATGGTAGGATGTCTGTCTTCTATGTGAAGGTGATTTCTGGATTTTCCCAGAAATCGTTAGGAGGGTGGCTGGCTCCAGGCATGCACAGAAGCCTCCTGCCCAATGGTGGAGCCTGGGCAGATGAACCCAGGCAACTCTGCATGTCTGCCAGAAGCCTTGGCTGCTCCTTTACCCTCACTTAGTATTTCGGGGGGAGCCAGCGTATGAGGAAGGGCCAGGGCCAGGGCCATGGTCAGCAGGGGGGCAGACAGCAGTGGAGACAATGAGGGCATGGCCCTCCTACACTGCAGCCAGACAGCCCAGGTGCAGGCAGAAAATTGTGCCAGGGCAGGACCTGCCAGAGCCCTCTTCCTTTGTTCCCTCCCTTACGGGGCTAAAGTGTCTACCCCAGAGCCAGTGCATGCTGGACACTCCTACGCTCAGAGCTACCTGCCCAGCCAACCGTGAAGGCAGGGAAGATGCCAGGCTCTACTGGGCAGTTGGATCAGCCCAGGCCTTACACTCAGGCACGGCCACAGGCCATCTCACAGCCTGTCCAGGGTCCGGCATTGCTGCTCACCTCCATAGCATCCAGAGAGAGGTTGCAGGAAAGCTCAAACCTCTTCACCAGGATCTGCTCCCGGACGTGGTACAGGCACACAAACTTGGACATGCCCCCTGCCAGGATGTTCTGGCCATCCGCAGAGTAGCACAGTGTGGTGAAGGCCCTGGGCGGAGAATACAGGAACTCAAGAGCCATACCAAGGGCTCTTTGAAACCAACTTGAAGGGGTAGGAGACCCTACACCAAACACCCAGGAAAGTGCAGACTCCCCTCACTGATATCTTTCAAGGGTCCCTGCCTAACCTTAGCAAGTCAGTTACACCCACGACCTCCAGAGGTGCACATACCTGCTCCCTTCCAAGATGGTGCCAACTGAGAGGAAGGAACTACCTGAGGCGGCCAGAAGGCAGGACAGGACCACATGGCTAGCATCCATGTGTGCACAAAAAGCATCCCACCTACCACCAACCCTCCACAGCCTCTCAGTAGGGTCTTCCAGTCCTGCAGCACGCAGGAACAGGCCCTGGCTGCCCTGTGGGCCATAACTCATGCAGTGACCTCAGGTCGGCCAATGATTTCCCAGATATGACAACAGTGTACAAGTCAGGTACAGTGGCTCATGCCTGTGATCCCAGTTACCCTGGAAGCTGAGATCAGAAGGATCACAGTTCCAGGCCTCACAAACAAAGTAAGTCCCTAAGACCCTATTTCAACAGAAAAAGCTGGGCATGGTCACACCTGTCATCCCAGAGACAGCAGGAAGTTTGAAAATAGGAGGCCTGTGGTACAGAACGGCCTGGGCAAAAATGAGACCTTACCTCCAAAATAACCAAGAGCAAAAGGGCTGGAGGTGTTGACTCAAGTGGTAAAGCACTACCTCAGCAGGTGCAAAGTCCCCAAGTATTGCAAAAAAAAAAAAGGACCAGACACACAGGATGCCATCTAAACTTAAAACTTGTGTCAAAGAACACCACCAAAATCTGAATAGGTGGCTCTTCAGGAGTATCAATAAGCCACACACCAACAAAATTTTGTGTTGTGGACCCAGAACTCCCACAACTGAACACACAGCAAACTACCTGATTTTAAAACTGGCAAGAGACCTGGACGACACCTCTCCACAGAATCTACCAGCTGCCCAGCAGTAGGGGAAAGGCACTTTAGAACCCCTAGGGGAGTGAAAACCACAGCCACCTACCCCACACCCACCACAAGGGCTCTAATTAAAAAAAAAAAAAAAGGTGTGGCTCAAGTGGTACAGCACTTGCCTAGCATGCTAGAGGCTCTGGGTTCCATCCCCAGTATCACAAAGTTAAAAAATAAAAACCCTCCAGTGTGGGTGAGGATGTGGAGAAACGGGAGCTCTCGTGCAGGTCAGGTGGGAATGTTTTCCACGTGTGGCGAACATTGGTGTAAACACAACCAATGTGCAATGCGGCCACTGCAGACCCAGGTCTACACCCGACAGAGCTGAAAATAGGCACTCATTCACACAGAAGCCTGTAAGACAGACTCAGTACTTCCTCATGGAGGACAACTCCCTCTACAGAACAGGCCCCTCAGTCCCCAGGGCCTAGCTATGGGGACTCGGTCTGCACTGGCAAGCCCAGAGACTGAGCGCTATGCCCACGAGCAGGTGGAAGGAGCTAAGTGCTCACTCTTACCAAAGGAGAGGATTCGGCCACTGGCCTGCATGTATTCAGCAAATCCAAGGCCCCCCTACTGGGTGTGATAGGAGTCTGGACTGCAGATGCAACCTCTCTTCTGCAGGGAGCCCCTACCTCCACCCAAGGAACTTGGTGGTCTCAGGAATAAGGACCACAAAGGAGGAGGCTGCATGCAACATGCCCCAGGGATCCTGGGTCAGGCAAAGAGACTAGGTCTGCCCACCCGACCAGCTAACAGAGTGTGTGTGTATGTGGTGGGGAGATGAACACAACACAGCTGCGGCTTCTGCAATGCTCTCACCAGAGCCCTGCCCCTGTTGACTGAGTCCTGACACTCACTTGCCCTTGGCTGAGTGTTTGGCCGTGATCTTGTCCAGCTCCTTCCTGCCTGTCTTGAGGTCGTGTCTGCCCTCGATGGAGCCGGTCTGCAGAGCATTCTCAGGGTCCCAGAAGGTGATCTGTGAGTTTAACGTAGCCACAGCCAACTCTGCACCATCAGGCCGAAAAGTCACAGCCAGAGCTGGAGAGAAACAAGCCTCAGGCTAAAGGAGAGCTCCAGAGACAGGCTCTCCTGCACAGGCTGTGCCCTCAGGTGCATGGGAAGCTCCTCCAGGAGAAGCACCAACCGTAGTGGGTAAGGGTGCTGCACACACCAGCCAGGCACGGAGGGCACGGCACAGTCAGATGAGGCAGATCGGGCTTCAAGGACTGACTGGGGATGGCCTGGCTGGAGGTGAGGCTGATGGGTGAGTCACAGCAAAGGCTCTTCTGAGAGGAATGTGGGATGAACTAGGGCATGGGGACAGGTGGAGAGGCAGAGCCCCAGGAAAGAAGTGGGCAGCCAGGCACCCCTACAGCAGCTTCATACTTCTCCTAGGGGTGCAACCCAAGCAGAACACAGACCATTTGCTAGGAGATAATGCTTAAACTCAAAGGCAGTTCTAGAAAACAGCCAGAAGAGGCAGCAACTGGAGCCCAACTAAGACTCCAGGGCTCCCAGCCCGACACGAAGCGACTCAATGGTAGACTGAGCCTCTGGCCATGCTGCCAACCTCAGGCTGCTGCTGGCTGCCGGATTTGGCAGCACTGTTCCCTCAGCTGGGCCTGCATCACACGCACACTGCGGAGGAGGAGCGCTCAAGAAGAGCAGAGCTGGGCGACGCACTCGACTCTATCCCTCCGCCCTCACCCTGCTGAGCCCAGCACAGCTCACCATCAGAGGTCAAGGCCAGCGTCTCTTTGGTTCGCCAGCTGTCGAACATGTCCCACAAGCGCACCGTCTTGTCCCAGGAGGCACTGGCCAGTATGGACTTCATTGGGTTAAAACACAAACCACTAATAGGTCCCTCATGGCCAGACAAAACCTATGGCAGTGAGGTAGGAGGAGGTGAGAGAGCTCAGGGCAGCCTGGCCAGGAGGAGACAGTTCTCTGCTCCAGCCAGCACATCAGCCCATACAGCACAGAGCTGCAGCCTCTCCCCAGTGCCCTCACAACACAGCCCCATGGGACAAATCGGCTCTTACATCAAGGAGCCTGCCTGTCTGCATGGACCACACAAAGATCTCGAAGGAGTCCTGGGCTCCTGCAGAGACAATCTCCCCGCTTGAGTCAACAGCCACGCAGGAGAACTGGGTGGGGCGGGGAGATGTGAAGGTGCGAAAGTTTCGGTACCTGCCGGGACAGTAAGAGCGCCACGCTCAGTACCCTGCACTAGACTCCATAGCTCTCAACTGCAAAGGCAGCTGGGCGGCGGCTTTGCCCTCTGCCTCTCCCCCACCTTGCACCTCCCACACAACCTGGCGCCCTTGACCGCAGAGGGAGGCCCTCACCTGTGAAGGTCAAAGGCTCGCACAGTGCCATCCATGGATGAGGTCACGATGACATGGCCAGTGGCAGTAAATGTCACGCCAGTGACACCACTGGAGTGCTCTGTGAAAGTGATGAAGCAGAAGCCACTGAGCGTGTTCCACACCTTGACCTGTGGTAGAAGTGTCAGGAAGCCATGAACACAGCTATCCAGAACCTGTGCCCATGCCCCCTCACTGCCCCTGAGGCCTGAGGAGACCGTCTGCCCTTTATAGCCTCCTGTCACCTCCAGTGGCTGGAAGAGACGTAACCGAGGCAGCCCAGCAAGTACCAGCTAGCTGCTTGCTAGCACCATAATACATCTTGGACACCCAACCCTCCCCATATAAATTCCACTAAAAGCCGGGCACCAGTAGCTCACACCTGTAATCCTAGCTACTCAGGAGGCAGAGATCAGGAGGATCACGGATCAAAGCTAGCCCAAGAAAAATAGTTCATGAGACCCGAGCTCAAAAAAAAAAAAAAAACCCATCACAAAAAAGGGCTGGTGGAGTGGCTCAAGGTGTAGGCCCTGAGTTCAAACCCCATTACCACGCACACACACAAAAAAACCACTAAATGGCTAAAATCATTCCAGAAACCCAGCTTGGTCTAACAAAGCACCCGAGTGCCCACCTTGCCGTCGTCCCCTCCAGTGACAATGTACTGCCCATCAGGAGAATAGGCCAGTGACACCATGCTGTTGAAGTGACCCTGCTGCTTCAGCACGTAGGACTCACTCTGCCACTCCCAGACCAGCAGCTGGCCCAAGCCTGTGGGCACAGGTGAGCAAAACACACAGCTCAGACACCCACCCAAGAAAGAAAGGGCCCAGCCTTTATACTCAGTACGGTGCAGGATGTCCATCTAATCCTGCAGCTCTGCCTCAGCCAGGTCTGGGCCTCCCTTGTACCAAATCACCCCCACTGCTGGAAGCACGGGCGGTAGGAGGCCCGGGGAGTGGGACAGCTTCCACCCAGCAGGTGGCTACGGCATAGCTGGGCAGGGATGCAAGCACCTGCTGCGGCCCTCCAAAGGCAAGGGCCAAGGCACCTGCTGCGGCCCTCCAAAGGCAAGGGCCAAGGCACCTGCTGCGGCCCTCCAAAGGCAAGGGCCAAGGCACC